AATAATCTTTTTAAAGAATTATTTAATTTATTATTATTGATCTTATTAATTAATTAAGTTTTTAGAGAAAGATTTTTGCTATAGTGTGTGCTTGCTGGAGAGACAGAGACCAAGAGAAAGCGAGAAATCACCCCCTGGGGGGATGGCCACACCGTAATCCCTTCTCCATTCTCTTGGGACTTTGGTTATACGCACATGCTCCAGGTGTGAGTTTCAAGCCATGGGGTCTGGGACTCAAACTGCACTCGCCATGTAGGAGTCCAGTGCCTTAAGCACTATGCCGTCTACTGGCCCCATTATTACTATTTTCAAATTTGCTATAGCCTTGTTCATTCACCAGCAAACCAGCAAGAGAGAGAGGGAAAGTGAGAAAGCAAGCTGCCAGTGGGAACCAGCAGTTAGCGTAATGGCTATGTCGCTGGACTCCCACGTAGTCGACCGCGGTTCGCATCCCGGACCTGGTGGCTTAAAACTCACGCTGGGCGCATGTGCATGCGTGCTCAAGATCCCGAGAGGAGAATGGAGGAGAAGGGATTGCTGCATGGCCATGCCCCCTGGGGGGTGATTTCTCACTTTCTGTCTCTGTGTCTCTGTCTGGCGAGTGCATGTGCCCTATAGCGAAAATTTCTCCAGGAAAAAAAAAAAAACAGAGAAACAAAAAAAAACAGAGAAAGCTGCCAGGTCTTAGATCGCAGGTAGCCACGTGGGAGTTCATTTGTGGGACACCAGCACCTCAACCACCAGACCCTTACTTTTTTGTTTTAACGAAGTCTTCAGGAAATACCTCCAAGTCAATTGCAGTTCCAAGACTATTTTTTTAATAAAGGAATTATGTATTTAATTTTATTTATTTATTATTATTATTATTTTTAAATTCACCAGAGACAGAGAGAGGGGGAAAGTGAGAAGGCAGATTGCTTTCTCGAACTGTGATCGACCATGTGGGATTCCAGTGCCTTAACCACCACACTGCGTGTTGGCCCAGTTTTGTGGATAAAAAAATGTCACTCCTGGGACCAGCAGGTGGCGTGGTGGTTAAGGGCTCTGGACTCCCACATGGCAGACTGCGGTTGAAGTCCTGAACCTGGCAGCTTGCTTTCTCACTTTCCCTCTCTCTCTGTTCTTCTCTGGTCAAATTAAAATAGATAAAGTTAAATAAAATAATTATTTTAAAAAATTATTCTGAAATACTTGTTTTAACAAGATACTGTCATTTTGTTTCTGTGTCTGTTTTTTCTGTGATGTGATTCTGGTTCTTTCTGAATCTCTCTTGATACAGAATTTTTTTAAAGAACTATTTATTTAATTTTATTTATTACCATTTTTCTTTTTCACCTATCAGAGACATGCAGTCAGCCACGTGGGAGTCCAGTGCCTCAACTACTACACCCCTGCTGGCTCCTTGCTACAGATTTTTTTTTTTTTTTGTAGAGGTTTTTGCTATAGGGCGCGTGCGCTCGTCAGACAGACAGAGAGAGACAGAGAGACAGAAAGCGAGAAATCACCCCCCAGGGGGGATGGCCGCGCTGCAGTCCCTTCTCCAACATTCTCCTCTCGGGATCTTGGGCACACACGCACACGTGCCCGGCGTGAGTTTAAGCCACCAGGTCTGGGACTTGAACCGCGGTCGACTACGTTGGAGTCTAGTGACATAGCCATTATGCCAACTGCTGGTCTCCTTGCTACAGATTTTTTGAGGATTTCTGAAACTTTCGAGTTCCTGGGTTCTGAGTTTCTCTGACTGCAATGTCTGTTGTTTCTGCTGGTTCTCACTTGCACGGTCTTATTTCCTTACGTGCCTGGCTTACCTTTGGCTACGTGGTGCTCGTGTACTTGAACAGTTGTTTATTGAAATCATTTCATACAGAGGGAAACCATATTTTCCTGCAGGGAAGATTCACTTTGCTTCCTTTTTTATTTTTATTTTTTAATGAGCAAGCACGTGTGCATGAGAGAGACCGAGACAGCACCCCCCAGTGGAATTCTCACACCACAATCCACCCTCAGCCTCAGCCGGCTCTGGAATTGGGGCATGCACATACATGGTGTACTCAGGGAGGTCTCTGGACACAAACCCGGGACCTTCCTCTGTGGGTCAGCCTTGCAGAAGATTGCATTTTACCGCTGTGCCATTGTCCTACTGTAAGGATTTGCTTTGTTTGTTTCTTTCTTTTTTTTGGGGGGGGAGAGGTTTTTGCTATAGGACGCTTGCACTCTATAGAAAGACAGAGACAGAGAGACAGGAAGTGAGAAATCGCCCCCCAGGGGGGATGGCCACGCCACAGTCCCTTCTCCTCCATCGTCCTCTTGGGATCTTGGGTACACACACACATGTGCCCAGTGTGAGTTTAAGTCACTGGGTCCGGGACTTGAACCACAGTCAACTACATGTGACTACATGGGAACCCAGCGACATAGCCATTACGTGAACTGCTGGTCCCAGGATTTGCTTTGTTTCTGCTGGCTACTTGGGCATGCTATCATTCTGGGATTGTCTTTCATGAGGCTTACAGCTCGAGCCACTCTGCATGAGTTCTTATGGTGGGAGTGGCCCTGCATACCCGGTGTGCAGCTCCTGGGCAGGACTGGGCTGCACCTGCTTCCCTGTGGAACCCTGTGGAGTCTGTGGGCCCTGGGCTAGCGCACACCCTCAGACACTTAAAGAAGCTTCGTGTGTTCTTTTCTCCTTCCGGCTCCCATTTCCCCTTCAGTGTTCGCCTGGTGAACGTACAGTCTTGTCCATTCTCTGGTAGTTTTGTTTTTTTTGAGAGGTTTTTGCCATAGGGCGCGTGCGCTCGCCAGTCAGACAGAGAGACAGAAAGTGAGAAATCACCCCCCAGGGGGGATGGCCACGCCACAATCCCTTCTCCTCCATTCTCCTCTCGGGATCTTGGGCACGCGCACACACACGTGCCCGGCATGAGTTTTAAGCCACCAGGTCCGGGACGCGAACCGCGGTCGACTACGTGCGAGTCCAGTGACATAGTCATTATACTAACTGCTGGTCCCTGTTGTTTGTTTTTTGCCAGAGGGCACATGCACTCAGCAGGGAGAGGGACGGAACGCCCTGCATGGTGCATGGTCACCGCCACCACTCCTCCTCCATCTCTCCAGCTTATTGGGATTTGGAGCGTGCACATACAGGTGTTTTTCAAGCTGCCAGAGTCAAGGTTCAAGGCACCTAGTCTTCCATGTGGGATCCTGCATACTTTTTTTTTTTTTTTTAAGAATTATTATTTATTTATTTATTTATTTAAATTTGGCCAGAGAGGGACAGAGCAAGAGAGAGAGAGAAAGAAAGGGAAAGTGAGAAAGCAAGCCATCAGGTCTGGGACTCGAACCATAGTCAGCCATGTGAGTCCAGCACTCTTAACCATCGTGCCACCTACCCGTCCCAGGGATCCTGCATTCTTAACACCAACCACAGGGCCAGCCCTTCAGTGCTTTTAAGGGTACGTATTTACATGGGGACCAGCAGATGGCATAATGGTTATGTTGCTGGTATGTCCCATGTAGTCCTCCGCAGTTTGAATCCTGGACCCAGGGGCTCAGAACTCATGCCGGGCTCTTGTGCATGCGTGCCCAAGATTCCAAGAGGAGAATGGAGGAGAAGGAATTGCGGCGTGGCCTTCACCCCCCCACGCCCCAGGGTACATGCCCTATATTTGCTTTAAAAAAAAAAATAGATACATAGGTGACCTTGATAAAAATGACATGCTAGAGAACCTGTTAGAATATGTGAGCAGCATATGTTTTTGCCATGTCAGTCTCCATAATTTTTTTAAGAATTATTTTATTTAACTATTCATTATTTATTTCATTTTTAAAATTTGACCAGAGAGGGATAGAGCAAGAGAGAAAGAGAGAGAGGGAAAGTGAGAAAGCAAGCCTCCAGGTCCAGGACTTGAACTGTGGTCGGCCATGTCCACATGTCCAGCGTCCTTAACCACCACGCCACCTGCCGACCCTTCATAATTTTTTTTAAGGGAGATTTTTGCTGTAGGGTGTGTGTGCTCACCAGAGCCAGAGAAAAAGTGAGATATCGCCCCCCAGAGGGGATGGCCATGCTGCAGTCCCTTCTCCTTCATTCTCCTCTCAGGATCTTGGGCACGCACGCACACACGCCTGCCATGAGTTGTAAGTTGCCGGATCTGGAACTTGAACTGCTGTCGACTACATGGGAGTCCAGAGACATAACCATTACGCCATCTGCTGGTCTCAGTCTTCATAATTACAAACAGTAAATGGTCTGAAATGTTCTAAGTATACTGACTGATTTAGGGCGTGTGTGCTTGCTGGCGCACAAGAGAGAGAAAAACAGAAGGAAAATGAGAAATCATCTCCTAGGGGGATGACCACGCACTCCCTTCTCCATTCTCCTTGGGGTCCTGGGCATGTGTGCACATGTGTCCAGCATTTTCTAAGCCACCAGGTCCAGGACTTGAGCCTCACAGTTGACCACGTGGGATCCAGCTCTCGTCACCACACCACTGGCTGGCCCTACACTGATTGGTTTATCAGGCTCTTTCTTTCTGTCGGGAGCTTTGGTCTGAGTAGCCCACTCGTCCTGAACACAGGGACTCACTCATTACCTACTGTCTGCTTCTCATCTTCAGTGCAGACTTGAAGCTCAAGAATGTTCTCTCTCAGGTTCTGGGTCTCTGAAATGCTGGACTCCAGATTCCTAGGATCCTCTCACCTGGGGATCCCAGGGCCCTGGAACGTTAGGTCTCCCAAGTCTGTGGTTTCAAAGGTTTGGGCCCCTATAGCCCTTCGGCCCCAGGAGCTCCTGGAAGACTCAGGGTGGACATTCCTTCTGGTGGAGACCAGGGCAGGACCAGCCCCCCACATGGTGCATGCACATGGGTCTCTCCCCAGACATGGTCTTTGGGGGAGCAACCCCCAGTCGACCCCAGGGGTCCGGGCCAGCAGGGATCAGGCAGATCTGTGGAAGAGAGAGAAGGCCCAGCAACTCACCGCTTTCCTGCTTCCCTCCTCAGGATCCTCATCATCTGGGCCATCAGCAGCTGGTTCCGCCGAGGGCCGGCCCCTCAGGACCAGACAGGCCCCGGAGGAGCCCCACGCGTCGCCAGCCGCAACCTGTTCCCCAAAGACACTTTAATGGTAACTACAGGGTGAGAGGGGAGGGGTTCGCTTTCAGTCTGTGAGCAGGAACTCTGGGCCCACCCACAGCAGATGGAACCAGAGTCGCCTGAGAGACGCTTGCTGAGGAAGGTGCACCCTGCTGGTTCTATGGTGGCACTTTCCGGGAAAGGACAGCAAAGCTTGCTTTTTCTCAGCTGTTTCAGTGTCTTAACAGGTCCTTAGGTATTTTATATCTAAACTACATTCGGCCTTCAATGGGTTGCAAAAAAGAGGGGTGGGGTGGGGAGGGGCGCAGCAGATGTAGGGGGCAGAGGAGAATGGGAAGCACACTTTGGCAATGGGTTGGCCGCGCACGGCGCCAGGAGCTCCCCCGTAGCCAGCGCTGGGACCTGTAGACCGAGCCCCCTTTCGCTGTTGCAGTTCTCTGAGCTCTGGGCTTCTGTGTTTTTGTGGCTTCTGGTCAGCAGGGGACCACACTCAGCTCCTCTCCACCAGTGGGCCTGGGTGGGGGTGAGCTGGAGAACGGAGGAAGCTGTTCTGCGAAGCTCCTTTATATTCCATGTCAGCCCCTGCAGCTTCCTCTGTGCTTTATCCATGGGGCTACAGGGCTCTGACCAGAAGGCCGTGAGCAGCCCAGAAGGAAGATAATTCAGAAAGCTCCTACCCTTGCTATCCCTAAATTATTATAATTATTTTTTTAAGAATTATTTTATTTAACTACGGGCGCGTGTGCGTACGTGCCCAAGATCCCGAGAGGAGAAGGGATTGCGGCGTGACCGTCCCCCC